CTTTTGTCAACCGCTGCAGATAAAGCTTCATCAGGATCAAACGAGTCTTCGTTCGCTAATGTCTGCTTCGTTTCCATAATCTTTCTATGCACAGGGTCATTTTTAAGTGCATTCATCCATCGTAAATTATCCACGTAAACGTCAGCGAATTCTTTCTGAAGTTCAGGGAGAACGTTTTCAAAGGCTTTCTCCTTAGCTGCACTTTCTTCTTGCCCATCCATTTGCAACGTTCTCATAAATTCATCATACTCTGGTCGAACGATCGCCTTTGCATCGTCAATCATGGTTGCCCAAGGATCAATCTCTTCCTTTATTTCACCATCATCTTCGGAATTCTCACTGTTTTCATCTTCCTCAGTTTCCGTAACACTTTCTTCGTCTGGAAAAAAGTCCACACTTTGCTCATATGAGTAGCTACTTCCTCCTCCATCCATCGAGGCATTATCGTCAATCTTTGCATATGCACAATGGCTCGCCTTATGTCGCCTGACATTATAATAGGACGAAAACTGTTTCAGACATCGATCACACTGGTAAGATGCCATAGTTCGCTCTTAAGAAATGCAAAATGAGAGCTCTCAGCGTGGTTACTTATATAGTGGATATGTGCTTGGTTTGCTTGTGGGACAATACAGGTGAAATAGTTTGAACGTCATTGAGAGTACGCATGCGCATTTCGTCTTAAGTACTTTTATTATGAAGGACTGACAGCTAGCTAGGCCGAGATGATCCGGTGGCCTTTCTTTCTTCGTGCATCTGTTCCTCGAGTCGTAAACATGATCATTATGGCATCTTCCGTAAATTGTTTATATCAATCCTACATCGACTTCCCATTGACCTTACATCCACCCCACGTTCACCTCACATCGATTTTTTAGAGATAATTAAATTAAGTGGGACTGGGAGCACTCTCCCCCTGGCGTTAGACAGGGTAGGGCGAGTCCGGGTGCATTATCACTTAAAGGGTTAACAGGGTGTATGGGTAGGTAGTTTGATTAATTAACCTATTGGGTTCTACCGGGCCATCGGGCCTAATCGGGCCAAAAAGTGCCATTTCGGGCCTAATCGGGCCTTAATGCGAAGAATGCGAAGCAAAATGCGAAGCAAAATGCGAAAAATGCGAAGCAAAATGCGAAAAATGCGAAGACGCATGAGCAAAATGCGAACTCAATGCGAAGACGCATGAGCAAAATGCGAACTCAATGCGAAGACGCATGAGCAAAATGCGAAGACGCATACCGACCCCGAGGGAAGCCTTAGGGAACCCCTAATTTATGCAAGCAAAACAGTATCATAGCAACATTATTTCGCTCTAAAATCATTTGCACAGTTCACATGCGTATAGGCTCATTCGTAATGTCCCACAATCATTGCATCAATCGTCTATGACGTACATAGATACAAATCTCTTGCTGTATATATGAACTGTTGATGATATTGACGAGTAATAGGTCTTTTAGCTCAATAAATTTTTACTACGTTTTTGGTATTATGCTACCTGCTTTCCGAATTAAAACCACTCTTTAATGAGAGGTTGGAATGGCAAACGTTTTCTCGGCTGAAAACTAGACACATATAAACACATTTTTATAGCAAAGTAATGAACTAAGACATTTATATTGTTCTGAAAATTTACAACTTTAAACTACACGTAAAAGTGCCCTTATGCACAATGTTCCTCGCTCCAATACATTAGGTAGTTCAAAATGGGCTGATAATCAGGAAAATTTCCTCTCAAATCTTCCAAAAAAATCAAGTGTTACTTCACGATCTTTTATCAAGTTCGCATGTTCTTTCGCACGCCCGTAATATTCCAATTTCATCACTCGAATAGCTTCAAGAAACTGTTTCTTCACAATTCCACGCTCAATCACACGCTCCACTGCTCCCAAACCATGCAGTAACCATCTCTCCTCGTCTGACAACATAATACAGTCGTGTCTCCTCTGACTCGGATAATCGGACATTTCTCCTTCAATAATCTCCGAATTTCACAAACAACCGCTTCGAAAAACACAGCATTCATCAAATCACAAACATTCTTCACTTCATAAGATACTTCATCCACAACCAAATCGTTTGGCACCTCCTGAGAAATACTCATTGCTGCAAACATATCACATAAACTTTCCATTTTAAAATAAATATAAAACTCCCGTTTTTATACGTCCCGCTGACGCCATCTGAAAATTCCAAAAGAACACGCGACAAATGTTACGCGACAATGTTCCAAAAATGACGTCACCCTTATCCGTAAAAACGCTGACGTCCTATGGCGGGAAAAATGCTGACGTCATTTCCGGCGCTCTATTCGCTCCTGCATACTAATTACTTCCGGCGCTATACTGCACTTCCGCCGCTGGATATACAGTGGCCGCCATTTTGAATATTAATTACTTGCCAGATGGGCAGGCCTCAAAATGATGACGTCACTTCCGGCGCTATATGGGGGGGTGGGTTATCTACTGGAGGCACATGCTGCACTTGATTTCACACAGTGTTTCACGCTTCACAGCTGTGGTGTGGTGTGGTGTACTGTGCACAGCACAGCAGAACACAACACAACACAGCACAACACAGCACAACACAACACAACACAACACAATACGACACAACACAATACAATACAATACAATATAATATAATATTATTAATATAATATTATTAATATAATATTATTAATATAATATACAAAATATAATATAATATAATATAATATAATATGATATAATATAATATAATATAATATAATATAATATAATATAATATAATATAATATGATATGATATAATATAATATAATATAATATAATATAATATATTATAATATAATATAATATAAAATAATATAATATAATATAATATAATACAATATAATATAATATAATATAATATAATATAATATAATATAATATAATATAATATAATATAATATAATATAATATAATATAATATAATATAATATAATATAATATAATATAATATAATATAATATAATATAATATAATGTATTATAATATAGCATTTGTAAATTCTCAACGCTGATTGGCTAAGAGCCGTGTTGATATAACTCCATGTCAACACGGGAAATTTTCCGCCGCTTGTAAGACTTGTAACACGGAAATTGTTCTTATTCTTCGGGCTTTTGACATTGCTATATTATAAAACAAATATAAAACATTTTTTCCGTATTGATATATAGTTATAT